TTCGACCATTTATTGAGATGTCCTTTTTCCAACCTTCAAGCGCTCTTCTTATAATATGCTCTCCATATCTATTAATAATTGTGGAGACAATATACATACATACTTGTTGGACACCTTGTTCTACATGGAATTCGTTTGAGAGTGTATCAAGCACTTTTACTGTTCCAGTAGTGTGTTGGTTTAGTTCAGTTATAAGTGAAATTAAGTGTTGTGGGACGTCTATTTCTTTTCTTATATGCCATAAGTGTTGCCATTTGACCCTGTCAAATGCTTTGTTTTAATTTTTAAAACAAATGTATAGTGGGATCTTGATTTCCTTAGATTTTTCTATAATTTGTCTTTTTTTCAGATGTTGTTAAGTACCTCTACCTTTGTTAAATCCAGTTCGCTCTTGCGGTATTTCTTTTTGTAGGAAAGTATTCAGTCTCTTATTGATTATTTATAGCAATATTGTGCTGGCATGTGAGATGAGAGAGATGGTTTTATACTGGTAGCATTTATGAAAGCTGCCTTTTTTGTATATTATCGTTATTGTCAATTTTGTCCAGTCGTCAGACCAATATTGGAATGCCATATTTTATTACAAATCATGTGAATCAATTTTATTTCGATTTCTTCTGTAGCTTTGAACATGTTTGCTGATATCATATCTGGACCTGATGCTTTGTTATACTTAAGTTTACTGATTGCCAGTCTTATTTTATTCTCGAGTATGTTAGGTTATTCTTCGATTTCTTCAGGAGTTTGGCAAATAAGTTCCTGGTGTTGATCATCTTTATCTAGATTCCAGCAATATAATCTCCATCTCTGCTATATCTTCTCTGTTAGTTGTCTTGGCTGATTATTTTGATCGTGACTCTCAATTTATTTGCATATATTATGATAGTATTGTTGTTTATCAGTATTAAATCTTCGTTTTATTTTTTGTTGAGGTCTCTTCTATTCTTAATTATTATGAGGGTTTCATAATATGTTATCTAGTACTTTTGCTATCTTTTTTGTATTTCTTGGACAAGGTCGCCCTTCTTTCTTAGTTCTATCCTCTTTGTCTCTCTCCGTGTGTTGGGCGCTTTAAGTGTGAGCTTTACTTTACTGGATTTGATCTATTGGATTGACTATTTGAATTGGTGATTTCCAGCGAATATTAATGGATATGTAGTCAATTTGATTTGCAGATCTATCTCCAGGACTTTTTCAAATATAAAGTCGGCGTACATGGTGTTAAAATCGAGTATTTTTAATATAATAGTTATTTGTGACAGCAAATTCGATTAATGGTAATAATAATAATAAAAAAGAAACATAACATAAAGATGGCGAGTTATGGAAATCAACCTAAGGCAAATATTACGTAGAATATCCAGACGAGGAGAGTTAGAAAAGAACAAATAAAAAGGTGTCATTGGAGCCAAAAAAAGCAAGAAAATAAGAATACAAAACGCAAATAAAAAGCGAGAATACCGAGGGCAGCCTGGAAATGAAATCTACAGAGGAAAGAAATGAGAAAACAAGTTGTAGAGCTAACATCAGATTAGCTTAACAATTAACGTATTGCTTAACATTGTTTATAATATATTCAAAACATGTTTTTAACATATTTTGATATAAATAGTATATGTTTTTTCTTCGATGTAAAAGTGTGCTATACGGATAAAGATGATGTTTTTGAATTAGAAACATTTGAAAAATAAGTAAGCTCATGTCGCGTGTTGAACATTTAACGAAAAATTAGTTTAAATCCTTAAAAATAACTGACAAGTCTATAAAATTAGAAAACCTGCCTATGACCTGGTTCTGAAATTTTCAAAATTATTTCAATCAACATAATCAACAATACTATACATATTTGATAGTAAAGATAACATTTGAAATGGAAATATAGATAGCATTGCAAGAGGAAATATTTGTTTTAATGGCAGGATACTTAGAACATAATGTTGCAACATCCCTGTATTCGAAATTGGTTGATAATACATGTAGTTGAAAAATGGTAATGGTAAAATGAACTGACACTTGTTGTTATTAAATTGACACCTTATAGACACAAAATATAAGCAGAATAAATAGCGAAAAATATTTATAAGAATAATTTAATTAAATTATAATTTATAAAATCAACAAAATTTCGAACTAATTATTTAAAATTTGAAAAATCTTTTATATATTTTCTGAACTAAGTATTATTATCAAAAAGTATGATTTGGATCATATTGTTATTTTTGTCTATACAATAATTAAAGCTACGCCAGTGTTACCGAATTGGACTAGATTGTTCACCTAACTCAGTTTTTTAAAAATAAATTTAAATATGAGATATCTAAAATACCACATTGTAATAATTATAATAAAATGAAATTAAATTAGTTAATACAACGTTAAGTACAAACAGTTTAAAAAGATTAAAAATTAAGTAGATAACTTTCTTGTATGTATCTAGCAGTATTGTCCAAATAACGTTAGAATACTGAATTATTAATTCTTAGAATAAGTATGTAATAATACTACTCCCTATTTGAACTAAATGACATTTAAATAGCATTTTAATAAAATTGCTACGGTATCTAATATATTCTCTGAATATGAACAGTAGGTTATATATAAATCACCTAAACGAACAGAAGAATTAATTCCTGTAAATAAGAACAAATAAAAATCTGAAGATCACGTTAACTAAGACACTGGTTTTCTCAAAATATATAATAAATGCCATTCTTCAATAGATTATTAAAGCAAAATAAGGCGAAAAAAAGAAAGATATCTTATATGATAATAAAATATTTGTTAAGCAATCAACAAGTCTATCATATTTATTATTCAATTTTTTTGGTTATGGATTGAGATTTTCAGAAACAGGAAATTATTAGTCTCCAACTCAAGAATGACTTAAAAACTTTAAGAATTTGTTTGATCATGTTTATCAGTTATGTATTCAGTATTCTCAGTATACTATATTTACTCCAAACTACTACTATAAACCAAAAATATTTTATAAGAAAACATTATTCAAAGAAAAGCAGTATCCTTAAGAAAAAATCATGATGGAAACGTATTTGAGAGATTGTCATATACAATATAATCTTATAGTACCTTCTAGAACAGCGAAGACTTAAAAAAACTGAATAACGAAATAAAGATACTTAAACTACAATATCTTGGCTACTTGGTGAGAGGAAAAAAATATCAGCCTTTGCAGAATATCATACAGGGAAATATTTTAGGAAAGCTTAGCGTTGGAAGACGACGACTGCCATAGCTGCTCAATCTTAGAATATGGTTAAGTTGCTTGAATAACCAGTTTTAACTGAGAAAGAAAAGCGCAGTGAAATTCTTCTCGAAAATGTTTCAAACAAACTGTCTGTAAGAGTTAACAAACTATCAAATTAATTAGTAGAAAAAATATCAAAAATATTAATGTCATTCTCTCTATATGTTGTGATGAGTCTCTCTAGTTGAGCCTTTTGTAACCTTTAACCCTTATTAAAAATGTCGTTTATGGTGCTATAATAATACTCCTATTAAATGTTTCTGTTATTAACATTTTTTTACATATTTCAATATTGCTCTGGTATTGTTCTGAAGCTATTTTCTTGTGGCATTGTAAATTAATTACTATTAAACTGGGAATAAGCCACAATTAAAGATAAAAATACGTTTATTGACGTTTTAATTTCCACTTCGGAAATCGTTCTCAAAATACAAACAGTAAATTTACTGTTTGTATTTTGAGAACGATTTCCGAATTGGAAATTGAAACGTCAATAAACGTATTTTTATCTTTAATTGTGGTTTATTCCCAGTTTAATAGTAATTAATTGCTCTGGTATTGTTTGATATAATTTAATATTTGAATCTTTTATTAACTTCACAAATATCGTGTGAAATTTGTTAATTTTGTTATCTATGTCTATGCCATATCTAGAGTTTTTGCCATTGCCAAGTAATTAATTTTATTTAAAATTTTTAATCTTACAGGCTCGTGTCCTTTAGAGACCATTACTTTTGAAATTTTCCTGTTTTTATTTTTAAAATTTTGTATAAGATATTTTCGGTACACTTCTTTTTAAGATGTTCCATAATAGTGTTCGTTAATCAGTGAAATGTATATATAATTTTTAGTGATATTTACCCCCCTTTTTCGAAACTCGAAACATTTTTCGTCCCATAACATATAGTTTGCAGTCGTTTATTAATTATTTTAGGATATATTTGTACCCGGAATCGATTAAGCTAATTCTTTTACGATTACTGGGGCCATCTCGTTTGCCCTTTCTAAATAGTATATTGATTACTATTATTGTTTTTCAAGCATTTCTTATTTTATAGGGTGGGAAGTTATATAAGCATAGCAAACGCAATTTTAGAATTAGTGTTGTAATACTGAGTGGAAGATTTTTTTAATATTAAGTCCATTGACATTAACATTGACCATAGAGATTGAGGAGTAACCTAGCGACAAAGAATATATGCAGATACCAGAAAAAATACGAATAGATACTACAATGAACTAGATCGTTTGGAAAGCGAAGTTAAAAGTAACTTATCATGTTTATCATCCTCTTGTAATATTATAACATCAAACTTTTTTCTTAATCACGAAGATGACAAAATCTAGGTTATATATATATATATATATATATATATATATATATATATATATATATATATATATATATATATATGATCTATTTTGTCATCTTCGTCATTAAGAAAAAAGTTTGATGTTATAATATTACAAGACCTCGCCTTATAATTTTTACTTTTTATTATAAATTGCTTAATTATTTTTTTTTAAATAAAATATAATATTCAAAACTGTTAACCAAAATAAAAACATTTGCTAGTACTTTTTACAATAAAAAGATAATTGTTTAGATCAAGAGGTATTTTAAATTGCTCATAATACTAATTAATATTTTGACTACATTGCTCTCGCCAAGAAAATATATACAGTAATGTAAAATCTGAAATTATTTAAAAATAGTGTCTATTTACAATTTTTGCTAATTCCGAAAAGGGGGCAAGGTAACGTATGTTTGATTTCCGTTTCCTGCTTCCTGTTTTAGTTCTTTAATTCTCCCGTCATCATGGTAAGTCTGTTCATGTTTGGGAGATCCATTTTCATACCAGTCAGGTGATTGGCTAAGCGCAGCATTGTGGTCTACATATTCTATTTTAACACCTATAGAGTTTTCATCGGCACTTGGTGAATGGGTCTGCAGCATGGAATATTCGCGACCTAAAGGTGGACTTGGGTTTGCTGGGGCTGCTGAATATTCATGGCTGCGCATCGGAGCACTAAATAGTTGACTTTCGTGTGAGTTTAACATATAAGAATAACTATTTTGAGCTGAGCCAAAACTTGAATAAGAGGCTGGTGAGCCGAAGCTCGAATACGTGCCTGAGCCACTATTAAGTAAGTTTAAATGAGGACCTAATTCATATGACTGGTAACTCCAAGAATCTACTGGTGCTGAAGTACTCAGCGTATTAGCTTGTGTGAAAGGAATGGTGTTATTAAAGTTTGTAGCAATATTTGGACTTGGTGATGCTGAGCTAATATATCCTGTTTTTCGTGGTGGTTCACGCTTCCTCCATTTTGCTCGTCTATTCTGAAACCAAACTTGGACCCTTGATTCACTCAAATTTAATTTTAATGCTAGTTCTTCCCTCGCGAAGACGTCTGGATACGGGGCACGCTCAAAGGCCCTTTCCAATTCTTCTAATTGAAAAGCAGTGAAGGTAGTTCTGAAAAAAGAAAAAAAATAACGTAAATCAATTTGGACAATGTAAAATACATATTTTTAGAAATGCCATAAATTGCAATGAATATAAATATTAAAATGGTATGGAAACTATTTTGTTGTGGCACCGAAAATCGTTCTCAAAATATAAATTAAATAAATTATTGTGTTTAGTTATTTGGAAATGGAATGAATTATATATATATATATATATATATATATATATATATATATATATATATATATATATATATATATATACATGTATCTGCCAAATATATGACATAGGAGCACAATTAGTCAAATCACCCGTGTGGTTAAATCAAACACGGAACGGCCAACGAATATCACATGCTAATTTCTTACTTTAAGTGGTTAGTGTAAAAAGACGACATCTACTTTAAGAGTCATAAATGAAAACGATTTAATAATATCGTTTTATGTCCTTTGCGCTATACGAAATGTGCAGAAGTTCACATCTTTGAACAAAATTTTGCTATCGCTTTTATGAATTAAAAAGCTAAATTTATGCCGACGGAGCACAAAGAAGTGGAAAATAATTCGGAGACGTTCTTTGGCGTTTCCGTGTACTTCTGCACGAATAACGAACTTGGAATAAACAACACATTTTTTACCACAAATACCACCACAAATATACTTTTAATAACACCCGTGGACAAATATCCTAGTATTATGTAAAATAAGAATTATCCTGAAATACTCCACACCCAAGAGAGCAGCGAAAACACAAACAAAAATCAAAGTCGAAGGACTTAATACGGAATACACGAAATACTTATACAGAAAAAAATATCAGAGAAGATCGCTGGGAATAAAATATAAGAAAATGATAACATTAAGCAAAGATATGAAAAACTCAAAAATTTCAAAATTAATGCTGCAATATAATCACTTTAAGAGAGGAAAGTAACGAACACTAACATATCAAAAAGGAAAACACCATGGTTTAGAGAGGAAGTGAAGACAAAATGTTTGAAGATAAGAAGAAAGCCTTTTTACAATACAGAACAGAACAAACACAACCGGCATATAACCACTATCAAATAATCAGAAATGAAACGAATACTTTAGTTAGACAAATAAAAAGGGAAAACTGACAGAGCTTCACAAAACATATTGAACACGACTTCTATGGAACACAAAAAGAAATATGAAAAATGATCAGAGGACAAAGAGAAGAAATCAACGAATTAATAAAAATGAAAGACATTTAGAAGGAAACATGGGTAGACTACTTTCGATACATATTTGCTAAAGAAATAATTATTGAGAAGGAAGATGTAATGGAACCATTTAGGAATTTAAAAAAATTGAAAATGACTAGGAAAGGACAAAATACCGAACGAACTCCTAAAGTACGGAGGACCAGATTGGACCAAACAACAACTAAAATCAATCCAAAAAATAATAGAACAAAATAGAATTCCTCAAGAATCTCCATTCTTCCTATCAAGCATCCTAATACCTTTCTTAAGAAAGGGAGACAAATTGGACCCGAAAAATTACAGAGGAATTAATTTATTAAAGACAACACTAAAATTTACAACCAAAGTGATAACAAATAAACTGAATGAAATTATAAAAAGAGCAGAAGAACGACAAGGGTTTAGGTCGGGAAGATCATGCACCGACGCTATATTTATAATAAGGCAAGTGCAAAAGAAATTATTAGAATACAACAAACTGACATTCTAATGTTTCATGGACCTTAAGAAGGCATTTGATCGTGTCAAATTAAAGGACGTTATCCACTTATTGTACGAAAGAGAGATATCTCTAGGAATAATCAAAACGATCGAAAATATCTACCAAAACAACATAATAAAAGTAAAAGTGGAAGAAAAACTAACCGACCCTATTGAAACTGGTAATGGGATAAGACAGAAAGATTTCCTGAGTACTCTTTTGTTCAACCTGATTATGGATGACATCATAAATAAAGTAAGAACTAAAAAATTATACTAAATGGGAGAAAAACAACTTAAAATAATCTGCTATGAAGACGACGCAATACTACTCTCGCAAAGTGGATAATTTCCAACATATGCTGCACTAATTTAATATAACCGCCAGAAAATTTAACGTCTTAATTTCCCCAAAAAAGACAAAATGCATGGTTACAACAACAAATTTACCAAGATGTAAATTGGAGCTGAAAGGTCAGATAATAGAACAAGTGATGGAGTTTAAATATCTAGGCATCACATTGTCTAGGCTACGGAAAGCTCGAAACTGAAGTGGAAGATTAAGTGAATAGAGCAATCAAAGTCACAGGCTGCCTAAATGAAACAATATGGGAAAATATAAATATTGGGAAAGAAATGAAAGGCAGAATTTTCAAAACAGACATTAGGAACAGCAGAGATGAAAATACTTGGAAAAATTTATGGCAAGACACTATGGGACAGAGATAGAAGTACAGATATACGACGTAGATGCAAGGTGGGGAAACATCAAGGACTGGATAAGAAATTGAAGAGTAGAATGGAACGATCATATAAACCGAATGATAACAAATAGAGCAGTAAAGACGGCAAGAGACGATTCTCCAATAGGAAGTCGATCAGTAGAAAGACCACGCAAACGATTGAACGACAACTTACTGAAGGTACATTGAAAACAGACAGAGTCATGTCTACACAAAAAGAGGAAGAAGAAGAAGAAAAATATTATTTAAAGGGTCCTTAGCCACATATTTAGTGGCTTTACTCATGTATAACTGGTATCTGCACTGATGATCGACTTATTAGTCCGAGAACGTTCTGTGATGTAAGCCGGAAGGGTATTTTTTAGAATATATGTACCTTTATTGGCGACGTGCAAGTACTTGCACTTTAGCAATACTTTATTTACACCTTCTGTCACTGAAGAAAATGGGATTTAGGAAATGCTGTGTTATAAATTGTAAAAATACAACAAAAATTGTCAATTTAAGTTTTATTCGTTCCCAACTTCGAAGCACAAATTACTACAAAGAGAAAAGTGGATTTATATCATAAAAAAAGCATAAGTATCATAACCTAAATTATGCATTATTCTTGCGCCCGATTTTAAAGTCAGTTTGAAATAAATAATAAATAAAAGTTCACTTTTAAGTGTAAATTTTATTCTGAAGCTATTTTCTTGTGGCATTGTAAATTAATTACTATTTATAACTGGGAATAAGCCACAATTAAAGATAAAAATACGTTTATTGACGTTTCAATTTCCAATTCGGAAATCGTTCTCAAAATACAAATAGTAAATTAAACAAATTTTGTTTTTTGTTACATAGTGAAAAAATTCTTCTAATAATTTAATTTTATCTGACTCATTTATATTGACAATTCAGACATACATTATGCATTTTAAAGTAGACGACTTTAAAATAAATTCAACATTTCAACAACATTCAAAACAACAAACACGTTGAGATCTATTTTGTCCAAAACCAAACCTAACAATGAACAAGAAAGGACAAAGAATTGCATTTATAAAATACCTTGTGAATGCGATCAGTTTTATTTAGGTGAATCATCAAGGCCATTAAATGTTAGAATAAGTGAACATCAATCTTATATTAAAAATAGAGAATTTGATAGATCTCAAATATGTAAACACGCATGGGATAATGAACATAGAGTTCAATGGAATGATTCAAATATAGTCCTAAAAGAAACGGATGGTAAAAAAAGAAAAATCAAAGAAGCGGCTCTAATTATGCTAAATGAGGCCAATTGTGTCGCAAATTCCTCGGCAGAATGTAGTAGGATCTGGTTACCAATATTGAAAGAGGAAGTTATTAATAAGAAAATACCAGTATTAGTAAGTCAGTAACATATAGAGGATACATCATTTATGTTTTTTAAATAACGTAACATATAAAATCAGAATTTTGATGTTTGTTGAAGGTAAACTAAATTCACGAACAAATACTTACAATGTCGGGATAGTATTATGAGGTTTTTTTCCTGGTTTTTCCCTCATAATTTACTATGGAATCACTAACAGGAGAATTTTTACTGTCATCATGTCATGTGTTTGTCTTTTTAAAGACGAATTACATGCTATGATTTTTTCTGACGGATATTCTCAAGTTAAAGTTGATTTCATGTAATCGAATGAACTATCTTATAAGTAAAGTCGTCCCAGGAGCGCAACTCAACAATATTGGCAATATCATTTTAAAGTCGTCTACTTTAAAATGCATAATGTATGTCTGAATTGTCAATATAAATGGGTCAGATAAAATTAAATTATTAGAAGAATTTTTTCACTATGTAACAAAAAACAAAATTTGTTTAATTTACTATTTGTATTTTGAGAACGATTTCCGAATTGGAAATTGAAACGTCAATAAACGTATTTTTATCTTTAATTGTGGCTTATTCCCAGTTATAAATAGTAATTGTAAATTTTAGTTTCATAACACTCACTTAGAGTTAATTTTAACCCAAAAATCAAGTTTAATGTTTAAATTTTATTTTTTTGAAGTTTACAAATATGCATCAAGTTCAAGTTTTTCTGAAAATGCATTAAGATATATTCGCTGTCCAAAAGTTTACAGGGAAAGAATTAATTGTTCAAACCAATATGATGATATCATGGGCTTAACCTGCTAATTTATGCATTAGCATTATTAATGGTAATTTATTTTTCTTATTTCTTCCATTTTTTTTGACATTTGCCACTACTAAAGCTTTTCCATTTGACTCAGTGCTTGGTTGAAAAGTTATTTGGTGATTTACTTTCTCAAATCTAGTTTTTATTATTGCATCCATATTAACAGTAATGATGTAATTTAATAAAATATTTATTTGTATTTACGCTACATACAACGTTTACCTTTTAATGACATATCGACATAACCTCAATCTTACTGTTTCTTCTTATTTTTTTTTTGGGGCTACGTCCTTGACAGTTATCCGGTAACCTCAATCTAACATGAAAGCGCAGTAAATTTTGCTGATTTACGACACCAGGTGTCGCTGTTCCGAACTTGCA